CACATTATGCACGGTAAAATAACCAGATTGGTGAATAACCTAAAACAGGTGACTTATGACTCAAACTTGGACTCAAGGCTTGTGACTCGGGACTCGGACCATGACTCGACATTGGTGACTTGAATACAACAATGGTTGATACCAGTACTACAAGTACAACCCTTCATGCTGGTTGTAAAGAGTTTATCTAATGAGCTCACAGACTTTGACTCAAAATTTCCTGTCAGAAAGGGGATTTCTGCATCCTGTAAAACACATCACTTTTCCTTTTGCGTTTCTACCAAGAGTACATTTTCCACCCAGTATGTCACAGAGCATTACTGTCTAGTGGTACATGTACATGTACCACTACTTGGCTACCATGTGAAAGGATTTGTCTAATTTTATTTAACCCTTAAAATGGCTGAAAATAGTAACTGTCCTTACAACATATGGACAAAATGTAATATGATGAAAAAATTGAATACAATTAGTGCAGTTACTGTGACACTGCCCATGCTAATTAGCATGCCACATGCATCTGGTCTTTACATCCCCATATGAGAATTGCCATGCACATCGCCACGGCACTGCATCTCTCATCACTCGGCACTTTCTCATTAATATCGAAGATGGGCTCCCTGGCTATGTCCAGTCATGCTCTGGTAATCTCCAATTACTGCTCTCTCTCCCGGAAGGAAGGAGTAAGAAAAATACATGTATATTGGTGTGGTCCTCTCTCTGTCTCCACAAACCGAGCCTGCCGCCAGAGCAACCAAGGATGAAGACAGGCTGCGCACCAGCAGAGCAGCAACCAGAAATTACAAAGAGCAGCTTTCTCAATAACTACATCTTCCCCTTTATTTTTTACAAAAACAGAATGAGGAGGCTATCGATCTTCAATTCATTATCTTAATACCATTTGCTGCAGTCTTATAATGACAATATCATCTGTATATACTGTAACTGACAGTACTGGACAAAATATCAAATTAAAATAAAAAATGGAAAAACTGGTACATGCACATTTAGGACAGCAACAGCTAGCAACTATATTAATTTCATAAATATTTCATTTAACAATCTATCATACAGGCAAAAACAGGAAGTCTGTCCTTTTCTAATTAAAATCTTGCTGAATTAATTTGTATTTTTCTTTTGAATGAAAACAGCTGCACACTTTACTTGGACAACAATCAGATGGTTG